TAAGAGAGCCCGTAAGTCACCACGTAAAACAGGAACTTACGAGAGTGCTAAGTGTGTTCCATGCAACACCCGTAAGTGCACCCATAACGGATTCGTAAGTGACCTACTTGAGTGAGCACTTACGTGCAGGTTTTATGCAACCGGGCCCAGGAGTTTAGATGAATTCTTAAACCAAATAGAGAAGAGAAATAATCAAACTCGAAGGCTGGTTGTTCACGTCCTTCCATGTGCTTTTCTGGTCCTTTTCTGTCAATCTCACTTGGCACTGAAAATATACATTCCAACATATATTTAATAGGATATCAAATAAGGAGGGAAATGAAGTATCTTCGCTTTAAGTACAAGTCCTGTCAAACATACACCAGGCATAACTTAACATTGATCAGTGGCATCAATGATTCAGGGTAATCGGACACCAAAAGTTTAATTTTGTAGGATATTGATTCAGACTTGTTGAAGCTTCTGATATCACTGATCATCCATAGCGGATATCACTGATCATGACGACCTAATGATATATTCTCTTTTATGTATGATAATTAGCTTTTCTGGCCTCATTAGCATTAAATTTTCTTATCTGTTACATTTATTTGTTTTTTCCTTCATGTTAATTAGTTACTTATTTTACTTTGTTTTTTTTTTTTTACTTAAATTTAGTCACTACTCATGTTAACGGTCACTTCTGAAGATGTATGTTGAAGAATACGCAACGTAAAGTTCGATATTATAAAAGTCAGTTATACAATGCGTTTGTCATTTCTGATGTTTGAAACCGCAGTTTGTGTGTTATTCCTTTTATAACTGGCCAAAAACCAAGAGCATTTACGATATAGCTTGATTTAATGATGGATCTTTTGGGTATTCAAATCTAATGCAGTGCTGTCAACTCTCCCGAATAATTCGGGAGACTCCAGATTTTGAACCATATCTCCCGGTCTCCAGATTAGAGTCTGAAATCTCCCGGATAATCGCCAAAGTTAATTTGCCATTTCTTGTAGACTAGACTCTCTGACACATGAAATTTCAAATATTTTGCGTTGTTTGAGCTATTTTATTAACATTGAACGTTTCCTTATAAATTCCGGTATGCCATTAAAATATAAGCAATAACGTGATTGGTGACAAGTTAACCAATCAGATCATATGTTACCGATTCCAACAACATCTTTTTCGCGTGTTTTTGAAGAAATGACGTCATGTGCTGTGCATTATGATGTCATCTACCAATTCTCAATATTTGGAGACTTAAGGGTTGACAGCCCTGCTAATGTTTCTATTTTTCGTGTTATATCATTTAATGCTTTCTGGAAATTTTTTATGGCTCGGAAATTCGGCATGGGATTTGTTTCGGACACATAACACATAGCAGGTCAAAACTTTCCTTCCAAGGACATGTTATTTCTTCCACAACTCCCAGCAAGCAAAATTTGCCTGAAAAACAGATATTTTGAGGAACAGATCCATTGGGTGCCCCTGGATGCGTATAATTTCTAGTAATACGCTGATTTATTCTCACGGACTTTTATACAATGTCGCTTCATATAAACACTTATTTTGGTTCAAACTTCAGTTTCGTGTCGTGTTGCGTTACATACACGATTATTTCACACTGTCAATGTCAGATATCAAAAATCGAAATAAAATGCAACTGATTCAAATTAATTTAAATGCCATACTTTACTCACAGCAGTTCGCTTTCCATTGGAAACCACTAGTTTAAGCTCTAGTGTAAAGACTGCCATTATCAGCGGTACTAGTGTTCTCAATTGTCTATTAAAACTACAAATTAAACAAGCAGCGTTTGTAAAAGCTGTTGAACAATTGAAGCAATACAAGCTACACTTATGGCGTTACAATGCCTCATTAAATGTAAAAGAAGTAAAACTTACGCCAATAGCAAGATTTTTTCCTTAACGTCGAAACAAAAAAGGTCATCAAGGTTTATATTGTCCGTAGGAAGAAAATAGGTGATAAGCTCCTCTGCTCTGTCTGTAACATTTTTGCGTACTAGTGATGAAATTGAAGCCAATACATAACTTACTTGAACGCATGCAACCGCCATGTTCAGTCAAAACAAGGTGAAACTTGTTTAATGTTCGATTATGTTCGATTTCCGAACGTTCGATTGTGTTCGATTGGCAAAATTTGAGGGTGATTTCGATTAAGTTAGTACCGAATGGTGGATGACTGGGTAACTGAGTACTGTAAGCAATTTCAGGCTTTCACTCTATCACTTAACCCTTTTTCCCCAAAAAGTAGACGGCTCAAACCTCCAAATAGCTGGTTTTTAGCCGGCTGCCGGCTCTAAATGTCTCAGAACCCTGAGACATTCTCCTTTTCGGCCTATGTATTTTTGAAGATGTTTTAGAGATAGGGTTCGACTAAGTTGTCGGAGAGCACAATCGTAAGAAAAATGACTAGAGGGGAACAAACGTTTTAAAACTAGAACATGAAAATATTAATAAATGCAGCCTCTGACTAGTAATATCGCAATCACTGAAGCAAAAGGATCTGAAATCATACTCACGTTTACTGAAAATACCGTGTCTCCTTTCACTTTCGCTTTGTACTTCCTCGTAGCCTCTCTGACGAACTTGAGCGCAAAGAACGGTGAGGGGAAGTCTCGTCCCAACCCCCTTCCCTCTCATCTCAGACTCTCTCGGTCATACTGACAGAGAAAATGAAAACACTTGTGAAGGCAAAATCGCTGAGAAACACCACAGGCAGACCACCCTCTGTTCGTGTGGCGGAAATCATCGTATTCTCGTTCCCAGACCTTCGATCCTTTTAGTTAGAGCTGGGTCCCCGACGCTACAATTAACTCCATAATACAGATTTGAACCGAAATGTTTAAGCGAAGTTCAAGTGAAATGTTGACTTAGTCATCTGTCATGTTCGCCGATCGCCGTCCCGAGCTGTTTTTAGCGTTATCATGAAAATATGCCATTTCCGGGTTGCACCAAGCTTCCGGTTTCAAAGCGACGCTAGGTGCGAAGCTTTTTGATATGAAAATGATTTTTTCATTCTCATGCAAATAAAACTCATTTTCACGAGAAAGATTTTGCACTTGCCTTGTTTTCAGAGAGAGAGTTTTTGGAACTCGGAAATGGCCTATTGCGTGATTGCATGGGTTATCATTATTAGATCCTATCGACCGTAGCCCCTTCGGACACTTCATGAAATTTACACAACGTAGTTGTCCCCTTTACTAATTGGAGTTAAGCACTGCCTTTACAGATCAGGGTAAAGCACTGCCTCTACTGATAAAGGTTAAGCACTGCCTTTACTGATTAGGTTTAAGCACTACCTCTACTGATTACGTTTAAGCACTGCCTTTACTGATTAGGGTTAAGCGCTGTTTAGAAACTGGTTAGGTTCTTTTTTGGGTTAATTACTTCACTCCTATCCAGCAAATCCTCAGTGTTCTGGTGGTTAGCGTAGTATACTGGACCATCTCGGTAGTGGGTGCGAATCCTACTGTCTTTCGTACCAATTCTTCTTTTTCTTTCAAATTGAAGAGACTTGCACTTTCATGAACATTTCCAGATTGAAATCTCATCTAAGTGTGATATAAAAGCAGAAAACAGTTCTACCTTGTGTAAATTTCATAAGGGGAGAAGGGGGCTACGGCCGATGGGATCTAATGCTGACCGACTGCCTGTGCGGCAGGCGGAGTTCAGTCAGATAATCATCTCACAATCATCCATCCAATCATCATATTTATCTTAAAGACAGCTTCATTCCGGCCGAAGAAATTCTGCACGCTTAACAAGTAAAGTATGCGAATTGTTTTGGTTACAAATAGAGAAAGAAAGCAAGAAAAGCTACTCATCCTGGTCAACCGCATAGGACTGTTCATTTCGAGCCCTGAAAATAGTAGTCTCCCTCGCAGCCGCTTTTTGAGGTGTCGCGCAACGTTAACGCTCCCCTTAAAAGAACGTGGGCTTCGAGGGAGAATATATGAAAATATCGACCGACTGCATGATGGATGAATCCTTTTCCTAGTGCCTCCTGAAACAGCAACATGCTGTGGGTGTGTAAGTCGCAAAATGTATACATAATAAACATACTTCGCATCCCCTGCACTGAAGACTGAACGTTACAAGGTCTATAAAAGAAAAGAATAATAGCCAATTCCTGTTCTTCAGTCCCCAAAAAGCTCATTTCTAAAGCCGAAAAGCTAACTAGCAATGTTCTTTCATCGAGTCAGTCATACTGCCGCAGTTGGTGAATGTTGCCCCTTTTTGTGGTAAGAAAAGTCCTTGATGTTGATATAGTTAAAAAGCTTTGCCCATGGTCTTGAAGCAGTATCAAGTTTGAAAGTTATTGTTTCATATCCTATCAGACTCGTTTCGTTGATTGTTTCATTTTTTTTTTCTTAACAACGCAAGATAATTTTTCTACTTTCCCTTCTCTTATTAGCTACTGAACAGATATGATCAGTTGTGTATCAAACTTAATCCAGTCAGGAGACATTCTGAGTAAACGCGTGCATCGTAATTTCGACAAAATGCGTGGAATGTAACCTCGAAATTTTTACCGTGGCGATCCTGTATGCATGTACAGCGAAAATACATTTGCTGTGGCTTGAAGGTGATACATTTCCAGGCATTACAAAGCTTTACTTACAACCATCAAGTAGACACAAGGTGTTTGTATTCCTTCAGTCAGTTAATTTAAGTTCTAAGAAGTCTTTGCAAACGATCAAACAAAACAAAAAATAGTTTCTTACTTTTTAATTAACGTTATTGCAAAATGCTTACATCACTAGTCACTGTTAGTTTTTGTCCAACCTCGTTTTCGTGAGCTAGCTTTCTTCCCAGGATCTTTCTTTCGTCATTTACGTCACTCTTGACTCGTACACAGAAGACAAAAAGAAGGACCCGGGAACAAGGTTTTTCGACAACTGCGTCATTAATGACATGGCATGACGTAGTTAGCGAGTAAAAAAAGCTAGGTGCGAGGTTGAATTTTGTCTTGATGTAGAACTTGTGTGGAATCTAGCCAAAATAGTTGATGGGATCGTCCTTGGTCATTCCTGTCTCGATAGCATCTAATGAAAGAGTTGATCCATCACATGGCAGAGACTGGAAAACACGCAAATGAACGTAGGAAGGACCGTCAACATGAACCTGTAGGTAAAATATTTTAACAGTTTAAAGGACCCACCCTCGAGTAAGGTATACAGTGGAAACCCGAATTATCGGACAACATTGGGAAAATCAAATTGGTTCGAATGATGGGGAGGTTTGAAAAATCGGAGGTAAAATTACACTGTGTGGCTCGTAAAGAAAGTTAGGTTTAGTTCGGGGATTTCGAAACACCTAGAGTTCGAGAAATCGAGATTGCACTGTAGATCCAATATGTAATGTGTGAGTCAATTATGAAGTTTCAGCATTCAAAATGTTAAAATGTCGATGCAAAAAAAATCAACTTGATAGGGAGACCCTAATAAAAGATGTAAATAAATGTAAGTGGTTTTCATTGCTCGTGGAATTTTGATCCAATGTTACTCTTGAGTTTTAAGACATCAGAAAACCTTTAGTTGAGCCTGTGATCAGACACGCATTCGTTCTAATAGATAATTATGTAAAAGAGCATGGAAGCGAGATTGATGGCTAATACGCCGATTCAAGAAAAAAAAACGGAAATTGAATGAATATAAGGCCTGTTTCAAACGTCATGCTACTGCCTTGCTAAGCTGCCTCGACTGCAGCACGACGCTTGCACGACTTGGTTTCAGACGTCGCATTTAATTCAGTCGAACTGAAGAGAACGGCTGTTGCCGAAAACAAAACGCAAAAATAAAGAAACGGTTTAGCAAACTTTTAAATGCATTCTAATGTATTTATTATTTATGAATTGAGTTCGGCACGGCAGTAGCCAGAGTCGCGCGACGATTGAAACCAAGTCGAACTACTACCGTGTAGCACGGAAAGCTTTGCCGTGCTACACGGCAGAACCACGACTTGGTTTCAAACATCTCGCTATTGCCGTGCTAAAGTCGAATTTGATTCGGCGATCAATTAAGTTCGGCACGACAGTAGCACGACGTTCGAAATGGGCCTTAGCGTGGCTTAATAGCACTTATTTCGTGCGCAGCCTTCCGTGCGAGACCAGCGAAAGGTCTTTAGCTCTGCCTGAATTTAGTGACAGAGCCTCTTTAACTAAGCTGTACCTGAAAGAATCTTCCACTCCATGTTAGGGAATCCAAGGTACTGGATTCCGGATTCCGGATTCCGTTGGTTAGTCGGAATCCGGATTCCTTGAGCTGTATTCCGGATTCCGTAAGCAAAAATCTCTCGGATTCCGCAATCCGGATTCCCTTACATCGGGTGAAAGTTCCAAAGTGGCCCTGCATCCATTGCTCACGTCAGAAAGCGTTAAGTTGACGCGAAGGGTGGGGCTGTTGTTGAGTTAAGCCGGTGACAATGTCTTAACTAAACCTCATTTTAAACTATTGATCCTCCTTTATATAAGATTTATGAAATTAATACCGCATCGGTCGGGCAGACCGTTTCTCTGGAATGCTGTGTTATGAGAATATTATTGATTATGGAAACAGACAACGCTTGACTTAACTTTATTATATCAATACATGAGAAATTTCTGCTTTTGATTGCTTAGAGCAGTGGTATTTCGGCGTAATTTGAAATACCTGCATGCAAAAATTACAAACCTTTTGTGGGTCTGAGTAGTGTAAACAAATAATAGCTTGATTGTACGTGATATTTGGCATAAATACCGCTCCTGATATTTCAAAATTGTCTCAATTTTCACTCGCCTAACGGTTCGTGAAATTACGTATAACAATTTCGAAATGTCACGCGTGGTATTTATGCCAAATACACTTCCAATCATGCTATTAGCGGGGCTCCCGCGCGCGCGAAGCGCGCGTGGGACAGAGCCCCATACCCATGGAATATGGTCAATCTCTTTTCGTTTGGTTGTCACGTGATTGACCGAGCGTACGTACGTACGTACGTACGCGTCCACAGATTGTATGGGTGGGGTAGGGGAGACTATCAAAAGGAAGGGAGGGGTGTCTCAGGCGTGTCTTGGCAAGCCCACATCTTTAATATAGGACATTAACAATATGGTCAATTGACAGCTGTCCAAACAGGATAGCCACTGACCAGTATCCCATGACCATATCGCGGGCTCATGTGTCAACTCATCGAGGTGACGTGATTTATTTGGAAGCTGTCCGCTGACCAGTTAACTGTTTTACTAGATCGCGAACAACGTTCAATCTCATACTTTTACTAGTTTGGGAGCACAGGAAAACTGATAATGCACACATATTGGACATCAATGTTTTGATCAATTGACAGCTGTCAAAACAGAGTACCCGCTGACCAGTATCACTTGACCGTATCGCGGGCTCAAGTGTCGACCCGTCGAGGTCAAGTATTTTTTGAAGTTATCCGCTGACAAGTAAACTAGTTTTCAAGTGATCGCAGGCTCAAGTTCAATTTTTTTTCTTAATTCATATGAAATATGTTGTGTTTATGTGCTGCACAATTAAAATTTTGATTGCAAACTGACCTCGGACGTGAAAATTCAGCCAGCGCAAAATTTATGCAGCATCTTGAATCTTGCTTACTTTAACAGCTGAAGCTGACAGAGTTTTGTGTCAACTTGTGATGTTTTTAACTGTCTTTTTCCACTGGATGTACAAAATGAAATTCAGCTGCTATCAGGAGTCTTCTGTTACTCATGGCTAGTTTGTTTATTGGGTTTTTGGTTGAGAAAACGTCGCTTGTCAAAGTCGGAAATCCGATTTCGGATGGCATCGTTTTCGTTTTCACCTTGCTTGATGCGTAAGAGGATTGCAAAGTCTGAAGCGATACTGGCTTTACCTGATAACTTTCAGGAGCTGCATCTCGAATGGTAAGCCAGAGAAATTATTGTATTTCATGTTTGTTTTTTGTATCTAATTTAATGAAGTGGAGCGTAGTTTATGCGGGAATTTAGTTTATGCGCGTTTGTAAGATTTGAGACAACGATCTCACCGAGTATCTGGTTTGATATAATCTTACAGAACTTTAAAAAGCCTTTAGACAGTTTAGCTCAGTTTCTCACCGCAAATAGAAAGAAAATGTTCCAAAGAATCTTTAGTTATAATTCTAGCCGGAAAAGAAAGCTTTGAGCGATTTTCTTGCCTCGAGTTCGTCTTTGAAAAAACAAACACCGGGAAGCTGGCTTAAAACATAAACTTCAGCAAACTTAAGTTTGAAGCTTGAAGACTCAGGATATTTAGGGACACTTTAATACTTGTCTTCCTGAATGAAAATTGTTGTCTCTGTTTATGTTTCACCGAATTATATTTCTTTTTTATTGATTGTTGGTAGTCTCTCTTGCAATTTTAATCGCTATGCCGATTGTTTTCAGTCGTTCAGTGAACATCGCTTGCAGGAGTTCTCAAAATGCCGCGCGTTAAACCATCAAATAAAAATAAACATGATAAATTCTTTATTATCTTGGAGCGTAACTCTGTTAATGTTCATTCAAACACTCGCTACAGCTCGCACTACAAAAGTGAGAACCGGATGGCCGTATAGGTGATTTTGGAAAATTTTTTAACAGTTTATGAATATTGAATGAGAGCAATTTGTATTGTGAAATACTGCTTTCTGTCCAAGGTATAAAAGGTTGGTTTACACGCACCCAGATTTGTTGGCAAGATTTTGCAAAAAGTAAACTTGTCGAACGCCAAAACGTTGGCCTGGTTTTTTTTTCTAAGCCTAATTGATCTACGGTGATCAATAGCCATTACGGCTCTTAAATGTGATAAAAGATGATTACCAGTTTTTGAGTGTACATATGAGGCTATCAACTCGATGTAAGATTTGGTTCACTCTTGGGCTGTTTGCAAATTATTTTTCTCTAAAATCAGGTAGCCTTTCCCTCAAAAGTCACATAAATGTGCTCTAAAGTTAACTGAATTGTGGAATTCGAATACAAGTTTATTGTTTAATTTAAATTATAAATTTACTAATGGGAGCCTCGCTTTTAGCCCTGGCTAAATCTATATATTACCTATACTAACAGGAATCATTATGTAACTGAATAATAATTGGCAAACACAATGCTTGCCATTTCCCCTATACCCCCACTCCCTACTCTTCCGTGAATGTCATAATGAGTACAATGTGGGACTGACTGCAGATCCAGCGCACATCGAGATTATTATTCGTTTCTGGGAAACTGCCCACCTACCCCTCCCCTAAGCCAACATTTTGTTCTACGTGAGAAGCAAGTGTCAATGTTGGCTTAGGGGAGGGGTAGGTGTGGAACGTTTTTGACTAACCTTAATGAAGTAATTTATTCCAGCAACAGGTTGAGTTTTATATGATATGGCTTTAAATTCTGAAAAGTCTTGCCCCACCTTTTTCTCTGTATGGAGCTTCACCTGTTGGGGAGACAAGTTGAGGTTAATAGTTTTTCATCTTGTTAGCAAAGAGGTGTGAAATATATACCGTAAAACCCCAATTACACCTAATTGCAATAACGTTGTCATAGAAAAAAAAAACAAAAACAAAAAAGCCAAATAGGAACAAATTAGCTTTGTGATTTACATTTGCGTATTTTAATTCAGTATTTAACAATTATTTAAGAATTCATTCACAATAGCAAGAGATAATTCTGTAATTCCGCGCTGTAAGATAGACAGGCGCCAAAGTCATTTTAGAGCCAACATTCTCCATCGAAAAAAGTCGCACAATTTGAGAAAGAAAAAGGTAAATTGACGCGAGCAATGTTATGTCTCTTATGTCGCTCGCAGTGTGTGGACCGTGCGTGGGTCCTGGCGAGCTGCAAACTCGCAGCTCTCATCTTTACTTGTATATATCTGATGGTGTCCGCCATGACGTCATACAGTAGTTTGACGTTACTGCGCATTTTTGTTTCTAGGCAACATTCGACTTAGCCTCCCACGCAGGCGTTTTTAGGGGAGCTCGTTTTTCATCCCTCCCCTGTGGGGAGGGATGAAAAACGAGCTCCCCTAACGCCTGCGTGGGAGGCTACATTCGACTGAAAACGATTTCGAATTCCCATCAAGGACCCATTCAAAGCACTCATGAAGAGCTGTCATCGTCTGCAAAACAGTGTATACTATGGGTGAATCTCATGCCATTTCTCATGCAAACAGAACAGCAAACGCAAGAACGTCGAATTGTCAATCCTCGCAGGGGACGATTTGACACCGAAAAATCCTCTGGAGCGAGAAAGCCCACTTGAAATTCAACGGAGCAAGCAGCAAAGATGGATGGAGACGGCAGCAACAAACAGCGAGCAGAGAGAACATCACTCAATGAATTTCAAATGCTAAAGTTCTTTAAGACCAAATGGAAGCGATTTTGGATAATTAGCCTTATAAACATATGAGCGAACCTCGCTGTAACAAAACACGTTTTGCTCGCAGACGAGTTTGTACCGTATCGTATACCTGCCAACTTTTTCTGAGATATAAGCGTGAGATTTTTATCCAGGGAGTGCTGGGATTTTTGAAGACGACACGATCATTTCCGAAGATTCCCGAAGAAGTCCGAAGTCTTCCGAAGACGTCCGAAGTCTGCCAAAGTCTGCCAAAGGCGAGCTCGCTCCCAGTGCTTTTCACTTCAAAAATCAGAGATCGCGAGGAAGGTATTGCCATTTATTAATTTTAGACATGGTTTTCGTTCCTTACATGGGTCTGAGTTAACGTATTTTTGGAAATTGTGTCAAGCAGGACGGCAACAACTCACATTTTTCAATCAGGCGTGAGATCGAAGTTTTCAACCCGCAGGCGTGAGACTCACGCCTAAGGCGTGAGAGTTGGCAGGTATACCGTATCGTCCTAGACTGTTGGGCTTCCATTCTTTACATGTACATGCGATGAAATGCATTTACGTTGGGTTTTCACTGTCCAACTGCAGTCATTCTTCTGAAAAATATCTTTGAATTCATGTTTAATAAGGCTCAAAGGTTTTAATAATAAAATTTCGCTGCCTTTCCTGTGTGTTCCACGTGGCCTAGAGGTAAAGCTTTCGCACGGTGCGCCGAAGGGCCCGAGATCCACTCTGGGCAGAACCTCGATTCTTTTCTTTTCTTCCTTTTTTCTTTTTCTTTTCGTTTAGTTTTCATTTTAGGTATAACAGTTTTGTTATGTTTCTATACATAGCTCACAATTTTTGATTGACAAATTTTCTTCTCGGCTTTACTTGCTGTTCCCCCGAAGTCCTTCGCGAGGTCCTGCAATTTACGTATTTCTAGTTCATTGTTTGTTTACAAAGCTCCGGAAAGGTTCTCGGTACAGTCGTCAGCCCAAGCTGGAAATACTCTTGGTTTGCAACCACGTGACAAGTCGGCCATGTTGGGGGTCAAAACAAAAGAATATTTCCTCGAATAATTTACATGAAAATAGAGTTTAGTTCCCAGAGGAGAGAAATGCTTTTGTTCTTGACCACCAACATGGCCGCCGTGACGACAGGTGCAACACCGAGTGTCACCTTTCTCGACGCGATCTGGCATTTCGCTCAAACCAACTGACGACATGAAGAAACACGGAAATATATATAACGGCTATTTCTAGATTATATAACTTACTGTATCTTTTTATCGCATGCAAAATCAGTCTTTACACTTTCGAAGGTCGCGTATTGACTTTCCAGCTTGGGTTACTCGGGTTGTCCGCTATCGCCAAACAAGACATTTCAAAGTTAAGCGGAGAAAGAAATAAGATTTCATGAGGGAGCTGCCTCATATGCTAGCTTAAACTGATACCTGACTTCTGCATCGGCCGGTTTCAGCTGACTCAGTCCACCGTCCTGCGACATGTTGTAAAGAAATTTCTTCAGCCGGATTCCGTCAGATAATTTCCCAACAAAGAATGATAGAAAAGCGAGATAACTCAAGATTTTCATTTTGTTAAAATACACAACTGATTGGTAGCGTGATGTATGACCAGGGGGGTGAATAGGGGTATGCAAATCCGCCGATCCGTTATGATTTATTAACCAAATCCGCCCTTCCATTTTCGCCCTGAATCCGAAATCCAGGCAAAAATATTTGAATTATTCGCAAAGTCCAAAATCCGGGCCCAAAAAATAGATGAATCCTCCATCCGCTGCAATTGCAGGATCCGGAAATCCGTTAAAATCTCGCTTTGAATCCGAAATCCGGGCAAAAACATTTTCAAAATCCGCCGATCCGTTCGCCTATTCACCCCCCTCTATGACGTGAGTCCGCTCGAGAACTACTGATTAGAATCTTTAAGTTAAAATAAATATTCAAAGCCAGTACTTCCGTTGGAGCCTTAAGTGATATAATCTGGTGAACTTTTATAAAGGTATCTTAAGTTAATGCTTACCAAAGAAAGTAGACGTGTATGTAGGAAAATAAAACAACATGAGGAATTATTAATGTTTTTTTTACCCACTCATGATCATTAGCACGTACGGATCGATTCAGATCGACAGGTTCGTTGAACCCTATCTCCCTCTCTATGAAAGGTAATTGACTGATTAACGTCACAGCCGAAAGCTCATTTAAAAATGAAATAATATTAAACAACAAAATTAAATTATACGGTGCAGCAAACTAACAGATAAATTTTTACACTTTATACTCCTATAGTTCCATAAACTTAACATCCTACAGGCTACTTTGCAACCCACTCACTTTATAGAGGTCTTTAATACTGCCTATCATTAGACTGCGAGCAGTCTCCTCTTTTTCTTTGCAAAGTTACTGCGCGAGAAACCTAAACACGCGAGCGGCGAGGCCGTTTGTCTCGTCTCAATCCCTAAATAATAACATCGTGGTTTGCAGTCGCGCTAGATGAGATAAGGACTGGACGGATTTTAGGAGAAAAGGAGGACTGCAAGCAGTCTAGCCTATCATAGGCACAATTACACATTATCGAACCAAATCATACGTTCTCAAACCGCTTTTCATTAGCGCTTATGCATCAGTCAGTAGCGCTGCGTGCAGTTACTACTTATAGACCCGAAACTCAGACAAACAAACTGAAATTAATATTTAGCGAATTCCTCACTTTTGTCTGACTTTTGTCGTTAAAATGAGGAAAATGGCAAAACTCAGACAAAAATTGCAAATCAGTCACTCTGACGTCATTCGCGCGCTACGCTATTGAAACTCACCCCCCCCCTTCTCCGCGACCCCCGACACTTAGCGGGGAATTAAGCATTGGCCTGGTGTTAAAACCCCGCTATTCCGTTATTCTTCCCGCTCCCCGGGCCAAGACGTTTGTTAAAGGCCCCGTACAGCAGGGCATTGGTTGTTTGAGGCTCGAATCTCTAGAGTACGTTCGGCGTTGTACTTGTTCCTCTCCGAGAAAGGGCTCCTTTCCCAAACAGCGTTTGGTAATCGAGTCTAATGCTGTTCAGAACTAGTCACACTGCTCAGGACTCATTTCTATAAAATTCAACCAGATATTTTAAAAAATGGAACTGTCAGCCTCTACGTTCGTTCCTAGAAATTGCAATGGCGACTCCCATGAAAATGAAAACCTTCAATGCTCTGAGATCAAGCAAGATGTAAAGGTATCAGATCTACCTGCTTCAGTTGTACGAACAAGGACGCATGTTAAGAAAGGGAAATTTCCATCGCTTAGCAGTTTCAAGAGGAAGTTTTCATTAGTTGACCAATAGGCAAGGGACCAGACACGTCATCTTGTAACCTAAATTATTAGGGAACTTAAGCAACTACGACGACGACGACGACAACTTCAAAAAACAATAGATTTAATGATCAAAACAACAGCTCTGTAGGTGCATCACTGTTTTTAGTACATTTCTTTGACGTCCACTGCACGACTACGACGTGAAACCTCCTAATTTCACGTTTTAAGGAGGACGTGGACATACGACAACGAATTTTCCTTCTTTTTTTTAACTTGAATAAAATCCTTAAGAATTCAATTCAAGGAAAAGTCGCCTGCATTTGACATATTGAGCGGGTTCAAAACCACCCATAATACCTTTCGGGATTGTCGCGTGCACTTTTTCCGCAACCTTTCTCGAAATAGCTGTGAACTTGGAAAATTAATGTTTCATATCCTGTCAGACTCGTTTTGTTCATTGTTGCTTTTTTTTTTTTCTTAAAAACGTAAGAATATTTTTCTACTTTCCTTTTTCTTATTAGCAACTGAACAGATATGATCAGGTGTGTATCAAACTTAATCCAGTCAGGAGACATTTTGAGTAAACGCGCGCACCGTAATTTCGACAAAATGTGTGGAATGTAACCTCGAAATTTTTACCGTGGCGATCCTGTATGCATGTACAGTGAAAATACACTTTGCTGTGGCTTGAAGGTGATACATTTTCCTGGCATTCCAAAGCTTTACTTACAACCAGCAAGTAGACACAAGGTGTTTAATCTATCCCTTCAGTCAGTTAATTTAAGTTCTAA